CACAAAAAAAAGATTCGAAGGAGAAGAAGCGCTAAAGCTCCTATTAATAAATTACTCACTAAGCTCCATGTTTTTTTAAAAATATACAGGGCCGGTTCTATTTAAAAAAGTTTAGCCTTTTTTTAACCAAACTGAGTTCTAAGCCATCTTCAGCTGAGCCGAACCTTTTCCCTGAATATGCACTTTTGTGAGCAGTGTCAAGATGGCCGAAAGCTTATTGTTGAAGGATATTTGTTTGCTGAAATTCATTCTCAGTCAAGGAAACTCCTGAGGCCCACTACATACGCAAAACCGCGGTTTAGGTTTGACCCCATGTACAGAGTAAATAACCGGTTCACAGTGTTTCAAAATTAGCTTAATGAATAAAGGATACCAAATAGAAATTTTGGAGAAATTTATCTCCGATTTGATTTCACCGGAAGCGCTTTTACACGCAAACTTACGTGAAATTAGGCCTCCGATGAATTGTAAGCTTTTCCCTCCAAGCGCAGAGAGGACCATTACATTTGACTTCGAAATCATATTTAGCAGGGCCTCTGCCTCCGAAATCGCTGCAATTTTTTTTTTTGCCAAATCTTGAAACTGTCTTTCTTTCATTCCATGCTTTTAAAGCTGATCTAGTTAGCCATATACCATAACGGCTTTCCATCCCTGCATGTCAACCCCTTTCCGATGACTTCAAGAGCGCGAACGCCGATTGACAACGACAAAAGTACGTAGCAAATATGCGATAGCCATTTGAAAAACCACAATGACTGCATAAAAATTCCGGGTTTCAATAAAGATCGCAAATATTTAGTAGAATAACATTATATTCACAGTGAGCTTTCCTATCCTGTTCTACAAAAGATGCTGAGAATGGCCACTCACCCTGCAATGCATCCTGGTTGAACAATGCGCTAAGTGATTTTAGAAAATTAAGTGCTGATCTTGAGTACGCAATGACTAATCTACTCATATCTATAACAAGATTTGGTCTTAATTAATCTCGAAGTTCCCACACGGAAAAGTATACATGCATGATGATTGTTATTCGATGAGTTACCTGAACTTGATATCTGCAATCCAATGCAGTCAAACATAGTTAATAGAGCGAACTATGATTCAAAACATTGTACAAGTTACAGGGCAAGCACGAGTGTCTACAATTACATGGGCTGTCTGAAGTTCATCTAGCTTATTTTGAACATCTCTAACTTTAACATGTTCAAGGCCAAGGCTTCGAACATAACTCGCCAAAGCAAAATCATAGTATCTTTTGGCCTGGTCAACGTGACTCTGATGGTTGTGTGCATCGCCTATCTTTTCATAAGTTTCTCCAACTTTACGGTGATCAGATCCAAACTGTTTCAGACGAATGTCAAGTGCACGTGCATGGTAGCCCCTTGCTTGCTCGAAATTACCTAGTTCACTGCACACAGTACCCAAGTTATTGTAAGAAGTTGAGACATGTACATGCTCAGGTCCGAGCTGTTTCAGACGAATGTCCAGCGCACGCGCATGGTAGTCCTTTGCTTGCTTGAAATCACCTAGATTACTGTATACAGTACCCAGATTATTGTAAGATGTTGAGACATCTATATGGACAGGTCCGAGCTGTTTTAGTCGAAGGTCCAGTGCACGTACATAGTAGCCCTTTGCTTGCTCGAACTCACCAAGACCACTATATACAGTGCCCAGGTTATTGTAAGAGTCTGCGACATCTACATGCTGAGGTCCGAGCTGTTTCAAAAAAGTGCCCAGTGCACTTACATAGTAGTCCTTCGCTTACTCGAAATCTCCTAGACCACTGTATGCACAACCCAGATTATTGTAAGAAGTTGCGACATGTACATGTTTAGGACCGAGCTTTTTCAGACGAATCTCCAGTGCACGTGCATGGTAGCCTTTTGCTTGTTCGAATTCACCAAGGCCACTGTACGCAGTACCCAGGTTGTTGTAACAAGCTGCGACACGTTCATGATCATCTCCAAGCTTCTTCAGACGAATGTTCAGTGCACGTGAATAGTAGCCCTTCGCTTGCTCGAAATCACCCAGACCACTGTATACAATACCCAGATTATTGAAAGAGGCTGCGACACTTAGATGGTCACGTCCGAGCTGTTTCAGACGAATGTCCAGTGCACATGCATGGTAGCCATTTGCTTGCTCGAAATCACCTAGATCACTGTATACAGTACCCAGGTTATTGTAACAAGCTGCGACGCGTTCATGATCAGGTCCGTGCTGTTTCAGACGAATGTCCAGTGCACGTGCATAGTAACCTTTTGCTTGATCGAATTCACCTAAATTCCTGTGTACAGTACCCAGATTATTGTAAGAAGCTGCGACATCTATATTCTCATGTCCAAGCTGTTTTATACGAATGTCCAGTGCACGTGCATAGTAACCTTTTGCTTGCTCGAAATCACCTAGATCACTGTATACAGTGCCCAGGTTATTGTAAGAAGCTGCGACATCTACATGCTTAGGTCCGCGCTTTTTCATCCGAATACCCAGCCCACGTTCATAGTAATCCTTCGCTTGCTGTAAGTTACCCTTACGTTTATGTGCCATACCCAACAGGCTGTAAATTCGTGCTTTTTCTACATCGGTTTTTGTGTCACCTGCGTGTATCATTTCTAAGGCCACTTCAAAATAGCTCATTGCAGCTTGGTATTCACAATGGTTGAGGCACATTACTCCGAGGGTCTTTCAGCCATAAAGATAGCCTTGCAATGGCACGGCACCTTTTTCGCCGACTTGAGATATTTCTTTATTGAAAAAAAGATATTTAGCATTCGTGATAAACTTTCTAAGGTGGGGAACTATTTTTGTGCCGATGATAAAGGAATCTAAGTCATCAAACTTGGAAAATGATTCAACAACCCCAACGACTCTCTTTATGTCTACATCCTTTGCACAATTTGTTTTTAAAGAATCAAGAACACCACGAATGACTCCATGTACTCGGATAAAGACACCATTTTCCTCTTCTTCAATTAATAACAGTGAGCAACGACTTATTCTCGAACCGATCCACTCTTTATCTGTCGATTCCTCATCCATTTCCATGATGTAGTTAATTGCGATGTCTTGAAGTATTGGCTGAGGCGAACAAAGAGCCAGAAAAGAGAACAGGTGATAAACAACTATGTCGGTCGTCATCGCCTTTTTCACAGCAAGTGCTATTGTTGTGGTCATGGATCTGTGGTAGCTTGGATTGGTCTCAGTAAGTATTGTCTCAGTCGTACTTCGTTCACCACTATCAAGCTTCTCCAGATAGTCACCCCAGCTAAAGTTCACCGATACTTTATTCTGCCGACCTTGTCGCACATAGATGGCGGCACTCGCCAAGGCAAGAGGTTGGTAGTCTAATGCCTGAGCAATGTCACCTTCCAGTTTGCTATCATTTACTCCTGACAGGAGTCTTAACAACGAGCGGGCATCATCTGGATGCATTCCTTTACTGACTGAGATGTGTTGGATTGAGGAACTTGTCAAAGGGATGGAGACAGCGTCTTGTGTAGTTATCAGCAACTGACCTCTTGACCATTGTTTGTCCCCTGAATCTGGTAAGTGAGTATGTACTTGAGATACACTAGCGTCATTGTCAACTATTAGCAGCCATGACGTGTAAAGAGAAATTCGCGCACTTATCAACCTTTTGAGACTTGTTATTCTCTCGTCTGCACTTCGGTCTGTGGAATTAACAGTGTTTGTGACAGCGTACTCCGGACATTTACAATGTCTAGCGAAAGAAACGTAGGATTCTAAAAGCGTTTCTGAGTTTTCAGCATTCAGAGTCATGACAAATGAGGTCGCAGAGGGAATTTCTTTGACTATCTCATAATATTTCTTGGCTACAAGATTGGCCAGTTGAGATTTTCCACTTCCTGGTTTTCCAGATATATACAAGGTACTTAAACTATCACCATTGGTGCATTTAAGAATTTTAAGCTCTTGGTAAATTTTATTAACTTCGGATTGGCGATCAGAGATTTCGTGTGTAGGTTTAGGTGGAAGAATACAAAACGGCCATACACTTGTATGAAGCTGCTGCTCAAGCACCTGTCGCTGCTCCTCCTTTAGTAACAGTTCCTTATCCTTCTGGAGAAGTGCATTGTCTTTATCTTGAAGTTTTTTTTCCTTCTCTTGAACTTGTTTACCAAGATCATCAACCTTCTTCAAGATGTTTGTCAACTCTTTCGTTGGGAAACTCGTTTGATTTTGGATATCATGGATTTTCTGTGTGGGAAGACCGAGCAAAAGAAATGCAGTGTTTACTTTCAAAATGACACTTTGGACGTCTGTGTTCGAAAGATGCCCTCGTGAAATATGCGCAAATTCTTCATTTCGCAGCCTCCTGAGGTCATCCACGTGTGACTGAACCGTTGGATTAAGGCCATAAATGCAGTCTGAATAGAGGATGGCGTAAAACAGCATGGTACAATCCCATTCAGCTGTATCACCGTTTTTCATGGTTCTCAAGAGACGAGCGTTTCGGCTTCTGTTTCGAGGAGACTCGCCATTCCAAAAGTCCAGTCCATTGTTAGGTTTATCTTTCCATTCTCTCGATGTTATTCTGTAGCGACTGTCCCATTCTTGTTTGAAAATTATTCGCAAGCCTTCTGTAAGTACATCGGTAACCACGTAACAAATCCTGTAGTAGTTTAGTTGCTCTGCAGAGTACTCCAGTGCAGTGCACGTGGCCATTTGATATTCAGACCCTCTGAAAAATCACAATTTTGTCCATGGTAAGCCCATTCACCCAGTTATCACCAGTTTGTTTCGCAGATGTTCTTTAGAATGACAAGCAACACTCTACAAAAGCATGGTTCTTTGGTGGGGAGCATGACAGCCAAAAGAAGCGCTGCGAAGATCAATGTAAACAAGGGAATTTTAAAAAAGTTTTAAGGGAGAGGAAGATTGATAACTGGATTTAAAATTGAGATATGATAATCACGAGGACGAGCATCTATAATCTTTCGAACTAAATTAAGTGGAAAACAGGAGGATAGAGTTAACTTGAACCTGATCAATGTAAATTTGTTAATTGAGGACCAATTTATCATGTCAAATGGCCAACTCTTCGATTAAGAACTGACATAACTGCTTCGCACTGCGGATATTTATAAGTTATCCAATCTGACTCGTCTAGGGTCTTAAAGGCACAAACCAGACTCGTCGAATTTCTACGCAAAGCAAACATATTAAAAAATTCCGTATCAGATTATCTCATTACTTATTATTCTTTCAATTGTTGATTCATATTTTAGTTGATTCCCCATTCTTACTTGTCATAATTAGTGGGAGCATTTAGGAAGATTTTTTCCCTTCCAATTGGTAACTTCCTTCTTTCTTTGCTACTTCCAGAGTTTGATTGTAACTTTGCTGCGGTGTCATCTTTTGATTTTTCGTTTTTCACTCCACAGGAATTACATATTAGAAAGTAAACCGCCAGAAGAATCGCATATAATGACCGACAGGGGTTGGAGAATCGAGGCTTGATATTGTTTATTTGAGCAATGACACTGCTATAATTGAGGTGATAGCCAAGATTGACTCATTATTCGCAGTCGGTGTTTTGTCCCCTTCTTCAAACATAATGTTATTTAATTGATGACATGGGGTGGTGTTCCTCTCCGATTTTATCCTCGCTTATACCTTTCATTTCAATTGGCTTCTCCTCTCCAGCTCGATACAAACCAACTACTATTCCTTTTAAAACCGCCATCACAAGCTCACTGAAAGAAGAAACCAAATATCCTGAAAAAGAGTCTGTTGTCTGTCGATGCATCTCGAACGGGAAAAGCAGACGCTTCCGGTTCGCGGAATATGACAGCGGGACCTGAGCAAATTTTCTTTGTTCTCAGTACATATGCATTTAACAGTTGTAAACGCATAAGCCATAAAACAAGAAATAACGGTCTCTTTTTTTGATATTTACAAAATGACACTGGAACGAAATTATTTTAACAGCGAGCAGTATTTTACGCCTTGATGATAAAATTTGTCACTTTTTTAACCCTAACGGCTCATTTATTTGACCGTCTTATGGCTATCTGTTATCCCATTAGAACCCTCCGTAGTTAAAGAGGCTTCTGGACACATAGTCAATTGTTTTACGGTAAATACATTCGCTGCCCGTCATTTTGTAGTTTCCTTGCAGTATTTTGAAGTTAGTCGGTATTTAATTAGAAATTGTACGTTTCGGAGTGGAAAGTTTCGAACAATATGTTAAAAGAAGCCAACTCTTCCTAGATATGTTCGCAAGATGAAAACGCCTCTAATACACCATTCACGGACAAAACAAAGAACCACATCCGTCCCATATCAAACTAGATGCCACCGGCTAAGCCTTCTACTGCCCTTTAGCCCTACTTGGAGAGATTATTGTATCCAAGCGAAAAAATAATTTTGTAAGACATTGAGGTCACAGCTCTTAAAGAGTTGAAAAAAAAAAACTCTGCTTTAAACCTCAAAAATTAACACAGCAACAGTAATTATGAATAAGACAGAAAAAAACAGAAGAAGCCAAAGTGCAAATCCGCCACCAGAGTTCACTACAAAACTCTCAAAGCATCGATAGTAAATAACAAGGAGGAAAGGGTTAATGAGATCATTGACCAAATGCATCGGCGGAACACATTGATGACCTTACTAAGAAATGGCTTTCGCAAACTCACAATCAGCCCTTGCTGATAACAATTTTGTAGAAAATCTGATTATCTCTTGCCAAAAAACGGAAACTCCCTTACGACACTTACCAGAGCAAAAATACAATTTGAAGACGATAATGCGAAGCGACCATAAAAGCCACACAAGGAGTCCATGCCGGTTTGTCTCTACCTTTATTCACAACAAGGCGTGGTAAAAATAACTGACCAATCAAAGGCGATATTAAAAGGAAAGCGGCGGTTCGCTCTTTTTGTCAAGTTGTCAGTTAGGTGGAAAATGAGGAGTGTGGAAAGTGCGGAGTGTGGAAATGAGGAGTGTGGAGATTGAGGAGTGTGGAAAATGAGGAGTGTGGAAAATGAGGAGTGTGGAAAATGAAGAGAGTGGAAAATGAAGAGTGTGGAAAATGAAGAGTGTGGAAAATGAGGAGTGTGGAAAATGAGGAGTGGGGAAAAAATTATAATTTTGTAAGAGAACTAGTGAGCAGCACACAACAACTTGTCATGTAGTATTGGGTTTATTAATCGACCGGTTTCGACTTCATCAGGATAAAACTACAAAATACATAGGAACTTATTTAAATACTAGACCTTGTCAGAACATGTCACGTTCCTAGTTTGGGTGTGAACAACAAAACACCCACAAGAATAACCACAGGATATGATTAAAATCCTGTGCTATAAGGTGCTTTTGGGGCTTCACGGTTTTAACGTTAAAAACGAAAAGGTAAAAGGTAAACAAAAGAATCAAACGAGTGAAACATTACTCTCAGTATGTTGTAGCTTAAGCATAGCATATTTTCACTTTTTTCGAGTGTGAAAAATGCGGAGTGTAGAATATTTATCAAATAAAAAGACATAAGAATATATACATGCATATTCACAGATGAGTACAAGTTCACATTGATCTCCACGTGGTCCACATTGTCCATGTGTTTCACGCGTTGATTTTTTTAATTACTCATTTTATACGGTGCCCTTTGCATAGTGACAAAATAAAATGCAATTATCCATCGCTTTCTTAAAGAGCCTGGACTGCTTGTTGTTATTGACTGTAATGTTTCACTCGTTTGATTGTTCGATTCTTTTGTTTACCTTTTTGCGTTCTTTTAAGTTTGAAAAAGTAATGTACGGTTTAGTAGTGAAAACGCATTGATGCATCGCCTTAAAGGAAATGGAGTGCTTATCATTGTTGTTCATATCGTTATTGTTAGTTTTGAAACGCTATTTATTTTCTTTGTACTTTAGATTATTGATTGCTTAACCGCCTATTGTCTATGCTTAGTTAATGTTTATCTACGTTACGGTTTATTTTTGTCGATTACTGTAGTGGGTGGCACAGGCAGATTTCGGAAAACTCGGGCTAAACAATAGCTATCACAGCGGTACCTGGTTAAACGCATTTCTCGTCACACGAAGCTGCTGACGAAAAAATTCTTTAGGTATCGTTGGATCGTAGTAGTGTAGGTCAAACCACGACTCGACTGGTCGCGGAACTGACCAGGCATATGGCGCTCGAAGTAATCTTCGCTGACGTCGATTCCTCGCTCTCATCATAGCCGCAGTCAAAACAGTTAAACAGACGTTAACCCATCTTTCATAGATCATACGAAGGATAAAAAAGTGCTCGTGATTTAACTGAATAAAAAGAATAAGCATCACCGTGATCGGAACGCATTTTCTGAACGTTTGTTTTCCTTTTTCAGCTCACTGCTCTCTCCCTATTGCATGTGGATAAACGAGTGTCTTGTTTATCAAAGTGTCATCACTGACATATTTTTTCACCTAGTGCGACCATGATAGTTGAAACCAAAAGTTTGCTTTCCGGTTGCGATTTCAAATTTTCTGTGTTTTTTTTTTTTTTTTTCAGGCAAAGTTAAAAAATTTGCCCAAGTGCGACCCATACCCTATACTTTCCCTTTCAATAAAGTTTGTATCCTGCGTAATCTGCATAAAAAATTTAACTTTAAATAATCACGAAGCTATGTTAATAAATTGATAAACAGATCAAACCTTTTCGGCACACGAATAAAATTGTTACTGCAGCATTGAAAACTGGTCCCGCTCAGTTGAACATTCTTGATTTTTCGCTTTCGTTCCCTTTCATGCTTTACGATTCCTCAATCCTCAGTGTAAAAAAGAAAGTCTTTGGCATCGGAGATGACCGAATTAACCGCGGAGAAAGATTGGAATCAAATTACTGTGGACTTGATTGGAATTATAGCTGGATATCAGTTGTTCTCAAGTCTGATTGTGGCATTAATTTTCCAATCAGTGAATCTTGAGTGGTAATCAGGAATTCAAACTTGATGAAGTGATTACCTGGTGATAAGAAACATATACTGACGCAATTCTTTCAACAGTTCCTGAACAAGCACGAAGTGACGCACAACCAAGAGACTGCTGTAATACATAAGCTTCCTCTCTCAATGTTCGATTAAATATAGAACTCAAGATATTACTAAAAATGTTATGAACAAAGCTACAAAACCGTTTCCCATACGCATTCAGTCGAAAGCGAAACAAAACTTTTGCAGTTAACCGTGAGGTCTGCCAAAAGAAACCAGCTGTAATCTTTGGGAATGTCGAAATAAACTAGAAACTACTCCAAGGATCTTTGCCAGGTGGAAATAGGGCAAGTTCACTGCTACTGTACTAATTAAGATAACTCATATGCAAATAACTTTCAGCTTTCCAAAGGTTTTATAAGGATACTTGAAGTCTAGAGAACAAAAAATTCAAACTTACCATTTAAACGTTCCGTTTAAAGAAAGCTTTTATTGAACAGTGAGATTAATACCTTCCACAGTCACCCACAATAAAGTGAAACCAACTTTCTCTTGTGGTGCAACGCCATCATCACGCTAAAGTCAAGACATTATTCATCCAGATTTAATAACCGTGACCAACAAAGCCTTGTTTACAATAAGAATATGTCTATTTTTATTCAATAAAATTAAATTTAATGTTCAGAGTTGGCAGATATGAATTGATCAGTGTGCCTTGATCCATCCCTTGATTAAGAAGTCGAAGCAGTTGTTCTAATCAAATATGTGCAGCGCATGCAATTTTCTTTTTTCCTCTCTATTCTGTTGATATCAAAAATTTTGAGGTGGAATGGTAATTTCAAAGTGAAATATGTTCATCGGTAATTAATTTTCTTCCCATGTGAATAAAACGCTCTCGAA